GAGAGGCAAAGTGATAAAATGACATTAATCCCATCTATGAGGACTAAATCCTCATAGCCTAGTTACCTCTCTGTGATCCTACCTCCTAATACTGTTACTATGACAACTACATTTCAACTTGAATTTTCAAGGGGGACAAATATCCAAACCTTGGAATCTAGATTACTTTTTAAGAAATAATGTTACAGGTCTGGGTGAATCTCAGGAATTAGCACTTTAATGAAAAAAAAAAAAAACAAAAACTGGGCAATTCTGTAGCAAAAAGCCAATAAATCTTGTTTTGAGAAACATTGTTATAAATATTCTGGTTTTTCCTAGCCTCAGTTTTCCTTCTATGTACCTTTTTTTAGGTACCACATTCTCTGTCTTTTCAAACTTAATCTTTGAAAGACTTACTAGACAGGAAGTCTAAACAACAATACTTCCTAACAAGAGCACCAAGAAAGCCTGGTAAACCCACAGATGGGTTATTTTTGGGTTGAAACACTGATCTGCTCAGCTTCAGGCCCTACTGGCCCCCAGCGGCCTTCTCTTTTATACCCTTCTCCTAAAAACATTTCACTTTCTATTTATGCCAAGATAAGCACAAGGCTGAGAAGCACTGCCTTAGAAATCAGGGGTCATTGCTTGTTTCTTCATGTGTGTCCAGGGCCTATAATACTTTCTCAGTCATAGGAAGACCTGGGACATATTTGTTCAACAAGTAAAAGCTAAATATTTGAGGGAGAGTAGCACATATTAGCAGGCTCTATTTCCTTAATTTCCTGTTACTCTTTCATCATCTGTCCGTTTGGATCCACCTTTACCACTCTTCTAGAACTGCAAAAGAGCACAGCCTTTGGGGCTAGAAAGACAAATTTCAGTCCTGCTTCTGTTACTAGGCACATTGGGAGTTGGGGCATTAACATAAAAATTTTAGTGGGGGACACAATTCCTTCCAGATCAGTCTTCTTTTACGTATTGTTTTTCTCCACGTTGTTTCATTCTTCAGTGCCTCTTTCCAGCAGAATATCTTGCAAAAATTGGAAGACCTCCTAAAGCCTAGACGCAGCTCAGACTATCCTATACATTCTAGTAATCAAAGTAAGTCACAAGGCCAGCCCAGATGCAAGGAAAAGGAAAGCAGACCCAACTTCTGAATGAAAGGAATGGTGAAGTCCCATTGCTCAGGACGTGTGAAATGGGAGTGATGCCAGCAGCTGTATCTGGAAATAACCCACCAATTTGTCCTTGGATAAATTATTTAACCACCTGAATTCCCTTAACTTCATCTGTTAAAGGAAATGCATGTATAAATTGCTTAATGATGAGAAATGCATCAATAGGTGATTTTGTTGTTTTACCATGGTAGTATACTTACACAAACTTGGATGGAAGCGCCTACTACACACCTCAGTCACAGGGTTTGGAATATTGATCCTTGGTTACAAACCTGCATAGCATGGTACCGAATGCCACAGGCAAATGTAACACTATGGGATTAGTGTACTTAACTATAGAAAAGGAAAAGGAAAATTGGTGTAAAAGATAAAAAATGGTATGCTTCTATAGAGCACTTACCATAAACGAAGCTGATAGGACTAGAAGTTGCTCAGAGTAAGTCAGTGAATGTGTGGAGGGTGAACATGAAGGCCTAGGACATTACTTTACAGCACTATACACTTTATAAACACTGTACACACTTAGGCTACACTAAATTTCCTGAAGTTTTATTTTGTTCAGTAATGAATTGACATTAGCTTACTCTGACATCTTTACACTGTGAACTTTTTAACTTTAAAAACTTTTTTGACTTTTATATCATGTAGCTTAAAACACATTGTACAGCTGTTCAAAAACATTTTCTTTATACCTTTATTCTAAACTCTATTTTGAAATTGTTACTTTTTTCACTTTTTAAACTTTTTTGTTAAAAACTAAGACACACACACACACACACACACACACACACACACACACACTAGCCTAGGCCTACACAGGGCCAGGGTCAATATCACTGTCTTCTTCCTCTGCATCTTGTCCCACTGGAAGCTCTTCAGGCACAACAGCATGCACGGAGCTGTCATCTATCATAATAATGCCTTCTTCTGGAATTCCACATAAGAACCTTCCTGAAGTTGTTTTACCTTAACTATTTTTAATATATAGGAGCACTACACTCCAAACTAATGATTAAAAATACTGTAAATGCAGAAACCAGTAACAGTCATTTGTTATCATTATCGAGCATTATGTCCTATACATAATTATAGGCACCGTACTTTTGTGTGACTGGCAATGTCGTAGGTTTGTTTATACCAGCACTGCCACAAACCTGTGAGTAATGTATTGAGCTACAATATTATGACAGCCAAGATATCACTGGGTAATAGGAATTTTTCAGCTGCATTGTAACCTCAGGGGACCAGTGTCATATATGCAGTTCATTATTGATCAAAGCTTTGTATGTAGCTTATGCTTGCAATAGCATCTTCCACTCTGGGATGTTATAAGTAATAAATTAAGAAACTGTGTTCATTGCCTAGCACAATGTAGTAGAGCCATAATAGCAACACTAAAAACATATATTGACTGAACCCATATGATGCCTCAGCACTGTTCTAAGTACTTTAAATGTACCACTTTAAGTAATGTCATTAACAATTTAGGGATGCACATGGTAATATTTTCTGATGAGAAACCCGAGGCACAAACATCCTAACTTGCACAAAGTCGGTTGCTTAGTAACTATTCTAATTCTTGAATGTCTCACATCCAAAGGAGATTTCTTAGCTGTCTTTCCTTTCAACTCTATTTTAAAGTTGAGGGTTAATGTTGTCACTTACCTTCTGTCAAACACTCCTCCCACCTTCACCTCCTTGATTCACCTCTGTCCAGCTTTTCCTCCTTCTCTGATTTCTCCTTTTCAGTTGTCCCTTTGTTAAGCTACCTTTTAAACGCCCAACTTCTCTCCCATTTTTCCAGCTCTTCCTTCTTGAAGGAACCCATTCAGTATGGTAGTTTAATATCTGCTCTTCCAGGGGCTGGGGATTTAGCTCAGCGGCAAAAGCGCTTGCCTGGCAAGCGCAAGGTCGTGAGTTCGGTCCCTGGTACCGGAGAAAAACAAAAAAAAAAAAAAAAAAAATATCTGCTCTTCCACTGATGAATGCTGGTCTCTTCTCTCAGTTCTAAGCTAATATGTCTAAGGGCAATCAGGGTCTCATTGCATATGACCCAGCCAGCTTTTTTTTTTTTTCTTTTTTTCTTTGGATGTTTCTGGCAATAAGCTAGCGCCTTTGGCCAGATATAACTATACCTTACCTGATTTCTTGAGGTCATTGCTTAACTGAATTTAATCGCCTTAACTGAATTTAATCCACTCTGACACAGTGGCATCAGTGATATCTTTCTGTAGGCTTCCACACACACCTCCCTCCATTTCTCTGCCAGGCCTAGCATCATGCTGTCCACATTCCCACCACTGTACTCGGCCTCACCTCCTTTTGTGTTGTCCTTTGAGGACCAGCACCTGCTCAAACTCTTCCATGAGCTTTTTTTTTTTTTCAGCTGGTTTCTTCTCTCATTTCCCTAGTTACCCATCTTTTCACAATTCTATGGCATTAACTTGACAACTCTGCATTCTCTCTATTATCCCCATCCAAACTCCTTGAAACTCTAGCACGCTTCACAGCAGGATTTCAGACCTTGCCTGTTGAATGAACACTTTATGGAATCCTCAACTACTTTTCTGTGCACTATGATTTGCTACGTGCTCTCCCTAGAGTCACATAACCTTATGGTTAAAAGCGCCAGTTGCAAGCTGTAAAAATTCTTGTAATTGTGCTAGAGTGGAGCTTGATGACACCAGTATCATGTAAATACGTGAAAGGAAGAAAAGAAAATGAAAGCTCTCCCCCTGCTGCATGAACCTGGGCAATTGACACTTTCCTGCGTCCTTGGCTTTTCAATGACAATATAGGGACAGCAGTTAAAGAGAGCACCCTGGGGAAATGAGATGATACTGCATATTCAAGGGAACTGTGGCACGGTGTCTGGCACACACACAAACAGCTCAGTACTTCGTGGTTATTTCTGGCCTTGTCGCCTGCAAGAATGGAGAGCAGGTGAATGAGAGGTGCCGCGAGGTGCCTTCCAAACACCTAGATTTCTGTGATAGTCTTCCTTGGGTGCTAGAGACACATTGGTAGCCCTCGGATATCCAATCAGTTGCTTAGAAAACCAGCCAGGATCCGCGAAGCTCCAGGCAAGCCTCAGCACCTTTCCTGGGCGTCATTTGGCCTTAGTTTTGATGTGAGAGCGTCTACCTTCTCCAAATTACCACAGTGGTCGAAATACTTCCCTTGCTGGCAAATCTTGGCCCTAAACCACGCAGTTGGGCATCTGGCACCCTTAGGCCGGTGGTTTCTGCCCAGGCGGCGCTTTCCAACTTTGAAGCAGGCACTCTGCTTTCCGCGGATGTGGTCCATACCGCACCCTTCGCGCTGTGCACCCAAGAACATGGCCTGGACACCCACAGCTGGGTTGCGGGCGTGTGTGTCGGGGGACTGTCCTGGTCTGCTTCAGGGCAGAGGACTGGGGTAGCGAGAGCGCCTACAGCGCGCACCGACCCACACTCCCCAAGCCTGGGCGCGGTCGCTCTGCGCGCGAGGTCCCAGGCCGAGTCCCGCGCTCCTCCAGGAGTCGGCGAGCACCCCCAGTCGCGGAGCGGTGGGCGCGGGGACCGCCGCGAACCTACCCGGCGGCGCGCACCCCTGA